TTTCTACTTAGGTATCTGCTGGGGTTACTGGAGAATATCACAACTTCAGTCCCAGAATCTTTGAGAATATATTGTGCATAATTTGCATTGCAAGATGGAATGACCAGAATTTAAAATAAATCACAAGAGGCAGAATTTTTTAAAAGGTGATATTTCTAACAATAACAATAGTAAACAACTCTCCCACTCTAACTTCCTTTCTCCTTAGTTGTTGCTAAACTGGAGTTTAGCAAGCTGTGTTGAAGGAAAAGCTCTGAGCATTTTTGCTACAAGCAAAGTTTTATATCCTCTTAGCTCTGTGATTGGAGGAGTCAGCCATTTCAGATTTTTGCAGACTAAATAGAATATTAATGGCCCTAATGATTTTTAAATGCTATTTGCAAGGTTGTTTAAAATGACTGTGTCATAGTAACGATCAATAAGATAATGAATGTGAAAATACTCTGTACATGGCAAAGGGCTACCTGAGCATAAGTGAAGAGATGAAAATATGTTTTAATTATTTGCCATTTGAAAGAACAGAATGGATGGTATAATAATCCTAAATTACTCAAACAGAGGAAGTATTAAAAACCAAAATCAGATTAGCTTAGGTCATTTGAGAAGATGGAAGCCCACAGTCAGTTGTTCTAAAACAGGGAGAGATGCTTTCCCAAACAGGAAAATAAACCTTTCTGCAAGTACTTGACTTTTTTTGTTTTTAAAAGGTCCACGACAAAATGTTCTTTTACTATCTTCAATGCAAGACTCCAAAATCTAGAACAACATTTGGCAAAAAGTTTTTACGAGAACAGTTCTAAAGGAACAAATGGTTTCTGGGTCAAGTAAGTCTAGGTCATTCTGAGTTCAATTTAAAGGGCTACTTGAGTAATTTTCATAAACTTTAAGATGAAAATAATGATATAAAAGAGAAGCTAACAGGAAGAGAGAGAAACAAGCAGTCTTTTCCAAGCTTACTTGACAACAACTGTTTACATCTCAAGGCCCATCCTGGGCCTATAGAAGGATTTTAGTCTCAAATGGAGCAGAAGGATAAGAAATGAAGACTCAAGTGCACACTCAGGAAAATAAGACTTAAAGGCCGGGTATCTGACTGCCTGAAAATGCCTGATTTACTTAAGATCGAAACTTACCTTCTGACCAGTGAGCAGCCAACAAGAATCCCTCCCCATCTTGGAGCCAATGAACTCGCTGCGTGGACCCCTACTGGCCGCCCCCTTTCACTCTATACGGGTAAAAACCGCCCCAACCCCGCTCGGGACCCACGTGCACCTCGCTGCTGTCTTTGTGTCCCAGAATTACTGATTCCTCTGCTAATCCCAAAAAACTCGATTTCTGGTACCCCCAGCTTGCCTTAGTTTACCTTTTTTTTGGTCAACTAACATAGCTAGTCCTTAACTAGAAACACCATGAGGTAATAAGTACAGACAATTTAGGAATTCAGGAATTCTGATGAAGATCAGGTACATGAATCTCGCAACACCACAATGTAACTTGGACCACGTTGGTGTGAGTGGATAAGACTGCTGATAACCAAAGCACTGCAAAACAGGAGCACTGCAGGAAGGGTCTGGTTACAGAGACATGGAGGAGAAGCTTGTGTGTAAACGGAAAAACAAACTGTGGAAATAAGAGTTGCTACTATGTTGGCCAAATAACTTCTATGTAGTGAAATCAACCTCTTGTGAAAATTGAGTGCTCCAATTAGAGCAAATTCCAAAGCCCAGAGTATGATGGGAATTCAAGAACCAAGTGACAGCCCCAGGTAGGTGTTTCCTCAACATGTATTCCTGGAGTCCTGTGTGAGTTCCCTGTGAAGTTATGTCCTGCCTAGTCCCCAGCTGCCTTGTGCAAAGTGACACAGCCCTCCACCACTTCCCTGAGCATTTTTCACCCTCTTCCATGGCCTGAGAAATCAAAGTCACTTTTTAAACACCATGCTGGAACTCAGAGACTGTGGAAAGTGAGTCCCAGGCTCAGGGCTGTGTGTAGAGCTGAACTGTGTGTGCTCACTGCACAAAGACCCCTGGCCAGAGGAGCAAATGGGACCCAAAATCCAGTCCATATTATGTTCACCAAGCCGTACGCCCTCACATTGCACTGCCTCCATCTGGAGGAAAAGGATCTTGAGCTTTTGCAGACAGATACTGGTCAGCTTGCCAAGTTTTGTTGCTACCTCTCCCTCCATGCACAGGGGATGCCTTCTTCTGCTTCTCATTTAACCACCCTATTGGCTTGCAACACCCTGCTCAGAACCAGCCTTGATCCTTGATCAGTTATTTCTACTCGACTGCCCAAGAAGTGCCCTGTGGCTCTGGTGACATGAATAAAGGGCTTCTCAAAGGCAACCTGAACCTGAACCTGTTAGCCGGGGAAGGCCAGAAAGGCTCTTCCTCTCTCCTCCTCTTTCCCCGGGCAAAAGTAGCAGGACGATTTCAGGAAAGGAAACAGGACCGCAGAAAAGTGCAAATACAACCAGGTATGTTTCAGAAGTAAAATCCCTGTTACAGAACCTACTGGCCCAGACCCACCTCTGGTTGGAACATTCCTGGGCCAAGTGTCCACTCTTTTGGTTACTCCCCATAGCCAGGGACAGGTATATAAAGCACACAGGACTCACCGCTGGCAGTGGGAAGAGGGGGTATCTGCTCTCACAGAAAGTGAACGTGGTCTGGGCAGGCACACCGTAACAAATCGACTACTCTGTCTCTCTAGCCTTGAGAACATTAACAATTTTCATGTGAGTTAAATAACCCTCCTTCTTTAACTGTTCACATTGGATTTTATATCCCAACTCCTGAAGTATAATTTCCATATGTACCTTATTCGAGTTTAAAGCCTCCTTTTAGGTGTGAAACTGAGAGCTTTATAAGCACTTTGGTAAAGACAAACGTGGGAGAATGATGGTGATTCATCGTGGTTTATGCCTGTTTTCAGGTCCTAATAGCAAGCACACGTTTTAAAATGTCTTCACGCTGATACTTGTGCACCCCGCCCTCGCCACCACAACCCCATAGGAATCCATAAAGGAAAAAATAAGCCGACCTTTCAGAAGGAGACTAGCTCAACAGAAGAGTGATTCCCTCCACTTCCTTCCCAAATTTCTTTACCAGCTCTTATTCCCACCTGCACCAGGGAGTGAGCTGGTCAAAACTGGGACTCTCAGAGTAATATTCAGGGAGGGAAAAGCAAACAAACAAATAAACAAAAGATTCTATTAGATACTGACAAAGTAACCAGCTTCACTCTTTCCCAGGAAATTATAGGACTATTGTGCTACACGCCCCCACTTTATGATGCTTTCTATCCCTAATATGGTGGAGGAAGTGCAGAAAGCTTTGGCTGAAGGATGGTGAGAGATCAGAAAGGCTAGAAAGAAAGAACAAGGAAAAAAAAGAGAGAGAGAGAGAGGAGTGAGGGAGAAAACACCGCCTGCGCTCACCAAGAACCCCACGCATAGAGGCCATGAACTCCCCCCAACTTCTAAAAATGTGATTTGGTAACAGGCACTGAAGGAAAGTGAGACATTACAAGGTGTGACGGTGGAGCTCGGAAAACACAAACAAAGTCAGAAAAGCGGTCAAGCCCAGGCTGGCTCCTACGGAATTCCACTCCTCATTCCTTTAGAGAGAACTCCCGATGCTTAAGTCTTCCACACTGGGATTCATTTAACATTCATTTCTAAGGCTCACTCTGTGCCCCAGGGCAATTTTCATTCTGCTCCAGGATGTCCGGCTACACGGAGGTTTCACTCTAGGAAAAGACAGCACACACAGCAACCCGGGTAGGAGCAGGACGCCGCTGACCCCTTCTCCTGGAATCCTCAGTAGATTTCTTCCCAGCTCTGTGCAAACCATTTGCAGCTGGGTATTTTCCTACGTGTGAAACAAGATTGTCTTCCCAGCAGAACAAGACCTATTTGATGAATGGTGGCAGAGGGCTAAGGTGGAAGCGGATTTTGATTGCCTTGATTGCAAGAATCCAGGCGTTTAAAAATGACCTCGATGGCTTAACCCCTTCTTATCTGTGCTACAATAAATGATGCAACAACAAAAATATTACGTATATACTCTGACACAAAGCAGAAGATAAAAATAGTTTTTCAGTGTGTTTGAAGCACTGGGATCATACTTACGGTCCCTCTTTAAAAATATTTTATTACAGAATTTAATATGTTACAGCAAAAGATTCAAGCAATATAGAAGTATAGAGAGCGAAATGTACAAGTCCCCTTTTCACCCCCCACCCACTCCCATTTCCTCCCCAAATAGAACCAAATTTACAGTCTGGTGTATATGCTTTTGCTCGTTTTTCTATACATTGGATGTAAAGAACAGATTTTTCCTAAGCAAATTTTTCTGCCTGTTCCTTTTTTCACCGCACAGTACATCTTTCAGGTTCCTCCATGTGAGTGTATACAGGTCTGCCTCACTCTCTTTAATGGCTGCCTAGTTGCTGTGGTTTGATACAACAGAAAGTTATAATTGTGTCCCCATGGCTAAAAAGAACGTTGAGAAAGAAGTGTGTGATCTGCCTGGATTTACAGTAACTTTTGGAAAAATTAAATGGTAGCTTGTAGAGGCATGTGTAAATTGCTAGTCACTATAAAAGAAGTTCAGCAAAACAAACCACAAACCTCCCTGGTCCCCAAGGCAGCCTGGCACGGACCCTGCCGTGTCATCCGCCTAGTCCCGAGGGAGCTCTTGGGTAGCAACTCCTTGCAATGCCTTCTGGAAATGCATCAGGTTCACATAATTTCCTATCCTGACAATGCTTTACATATAACCTGTATCATCCTGTGACCTTGTGAGTCCTTAATACAAAGTGAAGGTTGCGGAGGGGGGAGGAGGTGGCGGTGGATAAAAAAATTAGAAATAGAAGAAGAGCAACACTGATTTGTTAAGTTGGTTTTTTCCAACAGTGCTTACCTGCTTTCCATACATCCTGGGATGGGTGGGCGATCTCTCGTTAAATTAGGCATTCTTGATTGGGTTACTCACCTCATTACAGCATTGGTCTCTGTTTTTCCCTGCTAACTATTACTCTCTTGCTCTGAGCAGGTGAAAGTTTCTTGACCCTTTTGGCAACCTCATTTCAGTTATGGCGGCAGAAATGCATCATAAGGCGTTTTCCAGTGACAACTTCCTTTTCTTTTTTCAGAAAGCAAAATGAGCCTGAAGTTTAAGGAAAAAAGAAAAAAAGGAAAAAAAATGAACTGCATCCTGCAACACCTCAGGATCCCACACTTTTAAGAGAAAGTGTATTTTAGTTTCTCCCCAGGAGCTGAGAATATGGTCATTTTATGTCAGCTTGTAATGAGTTAGCACAACTCTTTGATCAAAGGCATCAAAGGCCACTGATAGTACCAATAATAGAGATGTTAGAAATTTTTGCATTGATTTAATGCCTGAAATCAATCAACCTTTCACCATTCCATTTCCCTCCCATTGCTCCTGGAGACTCAGAGCACACTCAGATCCTGAGATTCCAGAACCTCCTCTAAAGAGGGGAGTAGGGTCCACTGGAGAGACTGGTTTTCCATGGCTAGAGAACACAAACCCACCAAAAGTTACAACAGGTAACTTTACAGTCCAAAAAAAAAAAAAACTTTCTGTACAGAAATGTCAAAACTCAAGTGGTTGTTGCACTTTGAGATGGCCTCATTTACAGAACTTCCTGGTTTCTATCTCTTGCCATCCACTTTGGTTACTCCAGGATGAAATGTGGATAGTGACAGCCAGGCCTCGCCGCCAAGATCGAGTCTGAATGCAGCCCAGGCTCTCCTCCACAGGCCATTCGTTCAAGTAACTTTTCCAGGGCGATGCAGTCAGGCCAATTATCTTAGAAACAGGCAATTATAACCACATTCACAGCTCCCTAAAAGGGTGACTGCATTCCAGTAACAATTTCTCATGAAAGAAAACAGTAATTGAAGGATTGGCAAGGCTATTGCAACAGCCCAAGACCTCTGGAAAAGACATTTAATAGCACACTCGCACGCCTACACACACACACATACACACAGAGTCCACTTGCTTTCCCACCAGAGGAATTTTTTCTTTCCATCCAAATCCACTCAATAATTTCTGGGGGAAAAATACAAGCAATAGGAAGCAAAACAGATGAAACAATGGCTGGCATTCTGAGTTCTGGTCATGCCCTGTTCCATAAAGCCTGTATCTGCTCACCTTTTGCTTAACATATTGTTGCATGTTAAGTTGCAAAATAAAATACTTGCAAAGCATTTTTCCTGAAATAATACACATGAACACACCTTCAAAAAGGTAAGTTTTTCTATGAATTTAAGGTAAATTTAGCCTTTTTTTGGAGCCTAATTCACATCTTTATCCACAAAATGCAGTATCTGCTCAACCCAGGTGTAGCTCTTTGAGTTAAGTAGGTGGGGGGCAAACCTGATTATCTAGATCTATTGCTGTAAGTCAGTAACAGCCCCCAGACCTCAATCCTGACTGAACACAACACCTACAATAGCATATACCCACAGCCTGCAAGCACTTATTCAAATCCTTACAACACTTTGGCTCCACTGGCCAAAGGCTATTTTTCCAGGACTCAGTGGTAAATTCTTGAGCTTAATAACTTACTCATCTAAGCATTCCCAACAACACAGACTACAAGACTTGCACATCATCGCAGTCAGCACCTAGTTGCTGAATTAATTGTCAGACGTTCATGACAGTTTTTCAGATATTGGACCTCTGAAATGACATGGAAACATATGCTCTGAGTAGACTGATGAAAATACTGCCCACAAATATTTGTGTTTACCCAAAGCAAAGAAATATAATTATTTTTCATTATTATGGGCATTAGTAAATGTTTGTAGAATATATACATATCCAGGCACATGCACACACACACACATAGCATATATATGTGGGTGCAAGGCCACTCATTCATTTGGCTCTGGAAAACAAGATAAACCATCCTGGGCGAGAAGAGGGACGTTTGACCTTGCTGCTTTGTTTTTCCTGCATTCAACCAGAGGATTAGGACAGAGGGGAGACAAAAGGTAATTGAGCTGGGATTCTGGGGAAGCATTTTGTAAGTGAATAAAAGGCCACAGTGATGAGTTCAGTGGCAGAGGGGCTTTCCAAACACATCTCCAGAGAATGTGGAGTGAACCTAAACAGAAAGGCTTTCTGTCTCAAAATGCATAAAATGCTAGGTTTAATATTTGCCTCTTGCCTGCTCGGCGAACACCAGTTTTTCCCTTTGGACAGCAGAGCCCAGCGCAGTGCCTTGGTTCCCCCGGCGGCTGAGCGGGGACAGAGCGCCATCTACTGGCTTCAGGTGCAAGGCGCGCCCCGCACCCTTTTGTTCATCAGGCTTTTGGAATCCACTGTTTCAAAGTTAAGATGCAAAGAGAAATGAGGAAGGGCATGGGGTTTCCATACCTTCCCTATCTCTCCTTTTCTTAATATCCGGGAAAAAAGCAGGAAAAGAAACGAAACTTTCCCTTGGAAAAGCAAGGCATGGCTTTTGGGATTTGGTTTCTCTAGGGAAGAGCAGAAAAGAGAGCTGGTTCCTGGCTCTGCTTTAAAAAAAAAAAAAAGTGCCACTAAGCTTTAAAAAAAAGGTTTAAACTCGCTCTGGGCATTATCTCCTCCATCCCATCAGCCCAGCTAGCTAATGAGGTTGCAAGTTAACTGGGGGAGGCCTCAGGGGTGACCTGGAACAAAGAGATAGTGGGACAGGGCAGCAGGTAGACAGGCAGAGGCTGCATTGTGAACCTTGCCAAACTCTGAAAGAGAGGTGCTTTCACTCCAAAGCTGACCAAAAGCCCCATCTTCCTCTGTGGTCCAGATTTCTACTGGACTCAAGGACAGCACTAGTGTCTCCCAAAACAACTGAGAGCTGACCAGCCCCCACGAGAGTGTCTCTCTGCTGAGAGACCTATTTTCAGATCCTAGAACAGCTTGATCTTCACGCCTTCCTTGATTTCCAACCCCAGGTGGGGCAGCTCCACCACAAGCACCCCACTCTTACTGCCGACTAAAGCTCCGTTACAGAACCTGCACTTCCAAGGAGTTCAAAGACCCACCAAATTCTCCACTTCAAAGGGTTGGCATAAGCAAAGCCAAAATTCTCTACAGGACCCAAATTAGGAAGTTTCTTGGCTATCATGTTGAATGAATAGCACAACAGATCCCTTCTGCAGGGCTTCTGATGTGTGATTTTCTCAAAATGAGGAGCCATCAGCTTACACATGCACAGTACAGCAGTATCAGGTTAGCGGGTGTGAAGGGACCACATTCACACCAGGTCTTCAGTCTGCACTTCCCCAATGCTCCTTCCTCAGGGAGGACAGAACCAGCCCCTCTCACTCACCCTATTATTCAGCAAAATCCCTCTAAATAAATCTCAGAGGCTACCATCTCCTTAACTACACAGACGAGACAGCTATCTCTAAAAGGACACAAATGAACACATACATCAGGCACATCTCTGTCCTTTCTGCTGGCCCCCTGCTAATAATCATCACCACACACACACACCTCCCAATACATGTTGCTACAGATAGCTAAGAGGCACATAAAAAGATGCTCAATCTCACTAATTACCAGAGAAATGCAAATCAAAACTGAAATGAGGTGTCACCTCACACCTGTCAGAATGGCCATCATTAAAAAGTCCATGAAAGATAAATGCCGGGGACAGTGTGGAGAAAAGGGAACCCTCCTACACTGATGGTGGGAATATAATTTGGTGCAGTCACTATGGAAAATAGTATCGAGATTCCTTAAAAAACTAAAAATAGAGTTTCTGTATGATTCAGGAATTCCACTCCTGGACATGTATTCAGAGAAAACTCTAACTCAGAAAGATACATGCACCCCAATATTCAAAGCAGCACTATTTACAAAAGCCAAGATATGGAAGCAACCTAAATGTCCATCAAAAGATGATTGAATAAAGATGTGGTGTATTTATACAATGGAATACTACTCAGCCATAAAAAGAATGGAATAATGTTATTTACAGCAACATGGTGGACCTAGAGATTATCATACTAAGCGAAGTAAGTCAGACAAAGACAAATATATGATATCACTTATATATGGAATCTAAAAAATGAACTTATTTACAAAACAGAAACAGACTCCCAAACATAGAAAACAAACTTATGGTTACTAAAGGGGAAAGGAGGGTAGGAATAAATTAGGAGTCTGGGATCAGCAGATACAAAATACTACATATAAAATAGATAAATAAATGTTCTACTGTATAGCACAGGGGACTATATTCAATATCTTGTAATAACCTATAATAAAAAAATGAAAAAGAATTTATTTATGTATAACTGAACCACTGTTGTACACCAGAAATTAAAACATTGTGAGTCAACTATACATCAATTTTTTAAATTTTAAAAATTTAACAAACAGGTTGAAAACAAACAATATTTACATGTTACTTCATTAAGTGAATCTACTAGAGGTGACTAAGATTCAGTTTCCTAAAAAAAACTTTAAAGAGAACCAAAAAGACATGTTTTAAAGGATGTGATGACTTTTTCCAAAACTGAGACAAGACACTGCTTTAGATTGCCTTCATTTTGCCAAATACTCTTAAAATAAGAGTCATCTCAAGAAATAAAGCAGAGAAGGACACTGCTGCTGTATTTTTCTGCCTTTCAAAACTAAGCAGAAGGGGCCATACTACCAAATTGTATTCGGACTTGAGTTCGGATTTTAAATTAACTCAGGAACAATCTCTATCTGAAGAATCAAGCAGGGATAAGTCTAAGAATGCTGGTTGCAACAGAAAGTTCTAGTATATCTAGGACATTAAGAATGTGGAAAATATCTGTTTTTGTATGACATCATGTCCCTTCCTTCTTTCAAAACCTGCACTATTTAAGATCCACTCCCCCCTACTTTTTTTAAAAAAAAAAAAAAAACTAAACATGAGCTACCTGTAGTAGATTCACTTAATGAAGCAACAAGTGTGTATGGATGTGTGTGCAGTGATGTAGGGGGGCCAGCAGGGAGGACAGAGATGTGTCCTGATGTATGTGTCCATTTGGGTTATTTTTGTGTTGACTATACCTCTCCTGTTAAAGCAGCAACTCCTCCTGGAAAGGAAGACTGTTCTTCTCCCTACCCCATGGCTCAAGTTCCTAAAAGAGTCCTAAAATAGTGGAGACCAA